TTGTTTATGTAAAATATATGTTTTGACCATATTTAGTTTTTGTATATGCCCAGTGACATTGTTGGAAATTCCGATTTGCCCATTTATAAAATTAAATATACAAACATCTTAAATTCTATATATTTAATTAGTCAAATTAAACTATTGTTTAATGATTATAAAAATCAAATAATTGACAGATACATTTTTAAAACATTTAAAAAAATATTTTTAGTTATTTCAAAACAAGAAAGAAATAGAAACTTGTACAAAGAATATCATCATATAAAATACATTGAAAATAACTATTTAATTATATATATCCTGTCACAAAAAATATTAAAGGAAATGACCATTAAATATATGTACAGGTTCAGTGAGGTGTTATGTGTGTAACCAGAAGGTATGTCGAAGACGCGCCAAATGAAATACTGTATATTATGCAAATTTGGATGAACTAAAGATGAAACTCATTTTCTTTAATTGTGTGCTCGGTATGTACCGATATAACATCAATGACATTTAATGGCGATGTTACAAACGATGTACATAACAACATTACAAACATTGAATAACTGGTATTTAAAATCATCAGAAAAAAGTTCTTCTCTTTTTAGCTAAAACATATATGCTATGGAGAAATTTGCTTGTAAAAGGTAATCGACATATAACTTGCCAATAGTAAAACATGATGATAAATTAGATGTAATGTGATTCTGAAACTTACATATATAACAGCAACTTTGATCTCATTTAAATGTTCCGTTTTGCACTATGTGCATTTAAGATAATGTGGCAATGGGTCGGGTGTTTTTGTATACATTTTTATCATGCATATGTATTTGATGTTTACAATAAACTGTTTACTATCTTACATAATAACTTGTTCACTTGCTCTCTCCCCAGTTCCTCTCCAACTCACATGTATTTAAAGTCACATACCATATATGTATATATTAATCAAATGTTAACCAAGCAAAAGATATTTAATAGTTAAAAATTTGAATCAAATTTATTTAAGAGAATAAACGTGAATTCAACGATGTGTAATTGATTATCCATTTTTAAGTTATGTAAAAATAGTCAAGAAATCTATACGTTTTTACGCTGTTCTTAACTTCTTCATAATAAAGGAACAAAGAAGACATAAAATAGTGTCATTTACAGTTACCAGTCAAATGGAAAAAGCACTGAAAATAACTTATTAGTTTCAAATGAATAAATTGTTTAACAAATTTAGATATCAGGAAAGAGATGATAACACGTTGGGTCTATGTTATATCAACAGAATAACAAACTTTAATTTTTTGCATATTGAATTTCTTTGAACTGGTTAAAAATGATATATTACGAGTTAGATAAAGTGATGTATGACTCAATTTTTTAAAATTAGTTCTTTTGGCTATTTGAGCCGTATGAATTTTGTATAAAATATTGTTTTATTAACATTTTAAAAGGTTTCATATTGAAAAATGTTATATACTCTTTATTTCGACTTTTATGTGATTATTACATGTTTGACAGATATATACATATGCAAATTACATGTATATTATCAATAAATTATCAATTACATAACAAGATGAACATAGTTGGCATAGGTACAAAATGCATTCATTTGAAATACTCATTTGAAATACAATACTTAATGATATTAACATATTATAATAACAAATGCAATGCACGTTAAACATGTGGTTAAGGCATTTAACATTTCACAGAAATCAAGATAACAAAAGTTTCGATAATTATTATTATTTAAGTAGAAATGTATGATTCATGCAATACAATATTCTAAGAATTTTATAATTTCTATTCTAAATATTGAAATTGAGGGACAATTGTAAGAATACTAAAGTAAAACAAAACGACATAACCAATTGTATACATGTGTGATATAAATATACATGTAGTATGATATAATTTCCAGTTTTCAGTCTTTGTACATGTACTAGACGGACATTAAACACTTATAAATTGTTATATTCCCCTTTAAAAAGATGTCTTAAAGAAACGAAATATATGATATCTATAAGGAGGATAGAAACTCTTATATAGCCATGTAACTAAAGAAAGGCATTATTTTCGTGGAATTTTATTTAGCAAAATACGTTGTATGACCTCAATACAATACAAATAAAGCGACGTTACAAACGTGCAGTATTATAAAGTTTTATATATACGGCTGATGTCAATTTTCTAAGCAATCTCACATTTTTCTAAAACAGAAAGGAAGTTTGCTGTATTATAAATTCGTTATATATATATCACGATATGTTATCAGTATGTAACAAGCCTGTATATCATGGATAAAGACACAGTTTGTACGATCATGTGTATAAAAATGGGATAACGAAATGTATCTGAACAAGATGGTCTTTTTTCTGATCGAACAATTTGCACATTTTCTAAGCTGACATTCGGAACAATTAAAAAAATGTAAAATTAAATCAGGAAAACATATTGTCAAAAAACTTAATGTGGTTAATGAAGCAAGAAAACATTTATGTGTATCTATTTTTTATACGTTTTCGAAACTTAAACAGAGTTTACATGTTCTAACTCGTGATATGATCTGGTATGTAATCATGTTCCGTGAAAATATTTTCTATACTTCACTCCAACGCAAAAAAAATTATTCGAAGATACTTTACAACAAAATTATACAATATATACACTGGGATTGGTGTTTAAATGTAAACGTGACCTCTTTCATGCATTGTTTAATTTCTCCTTTAAGATACAAAGAAAAAGAATAAGTCTAAGTACTTTTTTTACCACAGTCAAAGTAGTATGTTAGAAAAAGCGCATTCTGTGGTTATTTCATTAGAAAAGTAAATTTTTTGAAAGTGTAACCATAGCAGTAATGAGGAGATGTACATGTATGATGATCTGACAATGATGTGTTTATGCCGCATCAATGTTTGTCATGTATTAGAATAATAGAAATATAAACACTAAACATTATAAATGACTTTATAAATAAGTATATAAATAAGTATATAAATAGGTACATGTATATAAGTGTATATAGATATATGTAAGGAAACATAAATAACTGTAATTAAGTGTGAATAACTATATCAATAAGTCTAAATACATGTAACTTGGTATACGTCGTTCATAGTCGTAAACTTATTATATTTTAAATATAAGTCTATTCTAAGAATAATTATTATTTTTAGGCGTTTATTGATTCGCGTAAGATAAATATACACTTTATAAGACAGGAAGGTCAAGCAGGTTTCATAATTCCGGGTATTTTATTGCGTATCGGTTCATGATACTTACCAAGGGGCAGGGCGTGAAGTGGTGGCACAATTGGTTCAAGCGAGAAAGTTGGTTGCAAACTTGACAAAATGGCTATAAACATTGCTAAAGGAATGGGCTAATTAAAGAATTTCAAAATAACACGAAATCATACTTATTTGAAGAAAATATTTTTTCAAGTTTTCAACTACTTTTTTCGCTTGAACCAAGTGCACAACCATGTCCTGCCCCTTTCCTGTTTAAATGTCGTTTATCTGAGAGGCACTTTATGCCTTAGAAATGCTTTAATTTTCATTTCACGAAAACTTTTTATTCGTTTGTGTCATATTATAGTTTCCAAAATGTTAATCATTGGTCAATTATCTGAACCATTTTTGCTCGTTTGGCTTTTTGGCAATTAGTACACTTATAATAGTGATTTGGTACTTTATATAGAAGCCAAAATACATCTTTGTTTACATTTTGCTACTTTTGTAACAAATAATTTCACATTTTGTATACTACTTTCTTCAGGCATGTTATATGCTCTGAGACCATTATTTAATTGCTATAAAACTTGTCATATCCCAACTGTTAAAAAAGACTAGACACTTGGCTATTTTTGGTGCAAAAAATGACTCGACAACAATTTAAGGTTAACTCGGCCTTTTCTACATGCCATTATCATATATGTCCAGTTTACAAGGTACAGAACGCCTTGACTGAATAATGTCTCTTTTGTTTGTTTTTGTTTTAGAAGTTGTGCGAATAAAGTGGTGGACTTTCGCACTGCCATACATTCTGTTAACTTATTATATTGAACGCTGGCCCTGCATGAAATTAAATACTTTCTATGATTAACTCTATGGATTTCAATCTGAGCAGACCCTAGTAAAGCATCTGTCCGGATTGCAGACACACCTGGCTCTTTACGTGCAGTTTAAGAAAACTATCAACGTTTCTAGCCTTTATGATAAGGTTATTAATATAGGTTATTATAGATTATTAATAAGCAAAATATTTATGTATATTATACAATTATGTTTACGATATTTACAAGTCATATGTAATGTCTGTTAATTTTAAATGATATAACGTCTCGTTATTTTTTATCATAAGAAACAAATTAAAAATAAGTTTTAATATATTGGTATGTTAAGGCATAATTGTCATTATTTAATGTATCATTTTTCTCTCTTTGTCTTTTTAATAATACAAGATGTGTTGATAATACTTATTTCTTGGTTGGTTTAAACATATTTCTTATTTAAGGTATATATAACATGTTAATAATTTATGATTTAAAGCAGAAAGGAATTGGACTGAGAACTACAATATCTCATGGTGGTCCTCACCTTTAACAAAAGCTATACGTACATATAATACATAGCTTATTATAATTTAAATAACACCCAATAAAGAGAGAAAATAAAGAAAAACTTAAAAAAGTCTTTGATACCAGAAATATTCAACAAAACTTATCTTGTTGTGCTGAAACTTATAGAACACCCATGACTTCACCAAACTTTGTTACTCTATGTCAGTAGAACACCCCCCACCGTGATTCCCAATACGAGATATGCACCAATATATGATGTCTGATATGTCAGTAACATATAAATGATATATTTCCTTTAATATACTGAACAAACCAGATAACAGCAATTACCGGAAAATTAACCTTGAAAGTCAATGAAAAAGACGGGATATGAAGTAGCCTCTTTTCATTGTTTATACCACACTCCTATATATACACCTTACTTGATCGTTTATCAAACATAATGAAAAAAGACTTACTAGTAGATGAATGATGAACTTTTTATCTAATACTTGCTTGCTTTTATGTAAAAAAATATCATACTAAAATGTACGGAGCTTTGAACCAGTCACTTACATGTGAAGGAAACACGCACGTGATCACAGTCGGAGATGTTTTTAGATGTATTGTCATCATAATCATTATGTTGCTGATCATAGTCGGGAATATTTGCTGCCTTGTCGTGTTCAACAGTCCAAAGACGAAAAAACAGTTTATGAAGCGAGCTAGATACATGATGACCTCACTGTGTTGCACGGACTTGAGCATGGGGCTGCTAATGTGTCCATCAACAATCTATCCAGCTCTCAAACATTGCTGGCCCTTCGGAGTTTTTATGTGTAAATTTGAAGCTCTTCTTATCTCAGCTTTGTTTCACGAATCAACATTAAATATGGTGTTAATAGCTATTGATCGTTGCTGTATCATACATTGTTCAAGATACAACAACATTATGACGTCAAAAAGGTTTTTGTTTGTCATCATAGGAACCTGGGTGACAGTATTCACCTGTTATGCTGTTGTTATTTTTGGAACAGATCAATTTTACTACGACAACATCGGAACAAACTGCGAGCCGTTTTATCGAGAGCCAAAAGTAACGCTTACCGTTCTTAGTATATTCTATTTTGTACCAGCAGTTATATTTGTTGTCTGTTATGGTTCGATATACAGGACTGCTACACAGAGAAAGGTTTTGACTGTTTCTCCTGACGATAAGGTAAGTCTCATTTCTAACTCACTATTCTCCATGATTTAAAGAGATCCCGATAAATCTGCATAACATTGAATGAAATTATTACATATTACTCAAGCGACACTATATTACGCTGTACTCAAACACGAAGCTGCAAGTTTACTTTGTTATTAAGTAAAAATATAGATATACCGTAACAAAACAAGCTAAAGAATCTCACTATATTAACTATTGTTTGTTTTTTTAGCATGGTAAAATGGTAAACGCTAACATACGGACATCGAAATACCTGGCAGCTATCACGGGTGGATTCTTCGTCGCTGTCTCACCGTGGACTCTTTGTACGCTCATTATCGTTGCCGCTAATGTAACGCTTCCGGATGCAGCCGATTTCTTTGTCACGTGGTTAGCTCTTAGCAACAGTTTCTGGAACTGCCTGATATATGGATTAATGAACAGAAAATTTCGCCGCGCAGCTTTAAAATTAGCATGTGGAAAGTGGATTAAATCTATCAAGGAGTCCGTGTACGTAAAATCGCACGATGAAAGCAGGGACTTTAGTGAAGATTCTACAGCATATGCTAATTACAAACGTAGAATAAGTAACAAGAAGAAGGCCATGAGTAGAAGTGCCGATGAGATGTCAATTACAGTAACAGGAAGCATGTCTGCAACAAATACACCAAACCATTCTCCTGCAACTATTCCAAAAATAGCACATACTAGAGCACAACATAAACAAGTAACAGACCTGATTCAAGAAACTAAAGGACTGTGAGATTATTTACAATAACTTGTGTTATCTGGCCTCATTAAGCGGAGGAACACTCCACACAATGACGATTTCTCATTCATTTTCCAAACGATATAAGGACTATTTCCGGACTGAATTAGTACAAACGTTATCTGATTTTGATGTTGACGTTTTAATAACTATGTAATTTGATGATACGTGTTAATTGATATTGATTTGTCATACATGTATAACACTTACTCATTAAAATGTTTCATTGCTATATTTATTGTATTCACAGTAAATTTGAACTTTGCATCTTTAATAGGTCTTTGACTGATTTAGATATGTGTTTAACTTAAGTATTGGTAGAAATTCAAACATATCAATATGTTGATATATTTTGGAACTGATAATAATTTTGTCAAATAAAATGCATTTTCCGAGAACGGAATTTCAAATTAGTGCACAAAGAAATGATGTTAGGATATTGACAATACAAGTATATGGCATCTGTTTTTGCTTTTTTACATATTTGTAAATAACCAAACATTAATTCATTAATTAATGTCGACATGGCAAAAGATCTGAAACCTAAAATGATTAATGAAGTTTTCAATAGGAAGTATGCATGGATTCCTTTCCTTTGTGGAAGTATTTACTTTTGTGCACTTATTTCACAATATTCATTTACTTTATTTGAAGGGGCGTCCGTGGCCGAGTGGTTAAGGTCGTTGACTTCAAACCACTTGCCCCTCACCGCTGTGGGTTCGAATCCCGACAGGGACTTTGGCTTCTTTTATGTGAGGAAGCTATCCAGCTAGCTTACGGAACGTCGGTGGTTCTACTCAGGTGCCCGTTCGTGCCTGAAATAATGCACGGAAGGGCACCTGAGGTCTTCCTCCACCAGTAAAGCTGGAACGTCGCGATATGACCTATACTGTGTCGATGTGACGTAAAAACCCAAAACAAAACAAACAAAAACTTTATTTGAAGTTTAATATTATCATTGTACATTTTGCCGTTTATGATACACACTTATATGATATGAAAGTAAACCCTATTTCAATGAAACATTTTATCATAATTATGACTCATATCATTACAATGTAAAAAGTTTTGTTCTGCTGTTTATGATTCACAGTGCATTTTGCTTCTGTAAATTATTTTATACGTCTCATGCATAAATGCACATATATGGCACTATTTCATCGTTTTGTCATTTTTTGTCTGTAATATTTGATTTCTTTTTTATTTTTTTTAAATTTTGACTTGGTTTATTTATGTAAAGCAAAGTTTTTAAATATAACTTACAAGTTAAGAAATGAAATCTAACTCATAAAAATATTATTGCTTCCACTATTTTTTGTGTCTTACGAAACTGTTTAGTTCGTTACAGAAAGAAGCAAATGTATGTAACTCGCGACCGCCCGCTTTGTTATGCAAATTTGGATAAACTTAAGATGAAACTCATTTTTTAATTGTGTGCTCGGTATGTACCGATATAACATCAATGACATTTAATGGCGCTGTTACAAACGATGTACATAATAACATTACAAACATTGAAAACCTACTTTTAAAAATCATCAGAACAAAGATCTTCCCTTTTTAGCTAAAACATAAAATATTATATGCTATGGAGAAATCTGCTTTATAAAAGGTAATCGACATATAACCTGCCCATAGTAAAACATGAAAAATTAAATGTAATGTGATTCTGAAACTTACATATATAACAGCAACTTTGATCTCCTTTAAATGTTCCGTTTTGCACTTTGTGCATTATGATAAAGTGGCAATAGGTCGGTTGATTAATGTTATTATATACATTTTATTTCCACTTTTGACAGATATATACATATGCAAATTACAGATAAACACTATAAGTATTATCAATGAATTATCAATTACATAACAAGATGAACATAAGTGACATAGGCACAAAATGCATCCATTTGAAATAGTCACTTAATGATATTAACATATAATTGTTACGAAGTTCATTTCGTCCGAACATCACGACACTTTTTATAACTCCGGAAACCACGTTAATATTTGTTGGCAGTTATTATCTCTATTCTGATTTATAAACATATCTATAATACTTGATGTTTACGCCAGTTTTCCCATTTGTAATCCTTTATTTAATGCTACATAACTCACAAAACTTGTACCATGCCTTGTGTTTCATCCATTATAAGATGGTACTGATTAGAAATCCAGATGGAGACGGTGTGACGTCATCAAATAGATCACATGACCTATCTGGGTACTCAGTGACGTCATTATATGATGTCACGTTACTGTTTCAAGGGTCATGTGACCTTTTCCTATAAATACCCCAGATTTTCCCTTGAACTTTGTCAATTGTATTGTCCGCTTTACAGACGCAACATCTATGCATAATGTCTTATAGAAAATATCCATCAGGAGAGGTAGTACCCAGAATCATTTAATAAATATATTTCCCCTATTAAAATAACTACAATAAATGTATAAATTACAAGCATTTATAAACTTGTACAGAACATTTATCTATGTAGCTAAGGTAAGCAAACCCAACTGGAGTGGTTTCCGGATATGTACCCATTTTGACTACATGTATTATTATTTTTACTGTTGACTGTGTATACATGAATGAATGATGTTGATGATGAATAAATGCGATGTTAAACTAACTACTGGCTTTCTCCTGATACAACATACCCTGACTATTGAATACATATAGAAGTAAAACTATAGAGATTAGTGATCTACCCGCTATATAGGCCTACTACTGAGATATACATCCTGAGAAATATAAATTGTTACCCGGGGACTAGCAGGCTCTCCCCTGTCCGGGCGTAACATTATTATAACAAATGCAATGCACATTTAACACGTAGTTAAAGCTTTCAACATTTCACAGAGTGATAAAGATAATAATAGTTTAGATAATCATTATTATTTAAAAATAAATGTATGATTCATGCAATACAATATTCTAAGGACTTTATAATTCAAATCTAAATATTGAAATTTATGGAAAGTTGTAAGAGTACTAACGTAAAACATACGACATAATCAATTGTATACAAGTGTGATAGAAATATATTTTAATATAATTGTCAATTTTTACTCTTTGTAATTGTACTAGACGGACATTAAACACTTATAAACTGTTATATTCCTTTTTTAAAGATGTCTCGACAAAACGAAATAAAAGATAACTATAAGGAAGATAGAATCTCCTATATAGCCATGTATTTAAAGAAAGACATTATTTTCGTGGATTTTTGATTTAGCAAAATACGTTGTATGACCTCAATACAATACAGATAAAGCGACGTTACAAACGTGCAGTATTATAAAGTTTTATATACACGGCTACTGTCAATTTTCTAAGCAATCTCACATTTTTCTAAAAAAAGGAAATTTGCTGTATTATAAATTCGTTATAAATATATCACGTCGATATGTTATCGGTATGTAACAACCCTATGTGTCATGGATAAAGACAAAGTTTATACGATCATGTGTATAAAAATGGGGTAACGAAATGTATCAGAACAAGATGGTCTTTTTTTCTGATCGAACAATTTGCACATTTTCTAAGCTGACATTCGGAACATAAGGAAAGATAATAAGTAGGAAATTTAGTCAAGGTTTCGTTGTATGTAAAATAATGATTATATTAGGAGTGGGAAAGGGTTCTATCAGTTCATTTAGTAAATGACATGTTGAAATAGAAACATTCGATGAATTTTAATGCAACGTGTTTTTAAACAGAAAAATATTCATATTGACATAATTATTACTCCATCTTTATTTCTAAGAACAACAACAATAGCATGAAGAAAATTCCCAACATTTTCCTATTCTTATACAATAGCTGTGCTTTCGATACTGTATATCTTTTCCTTAACACATATTTTTTTGTTGTGACTCCCTCTGTAAGAAACAAACCATATACTGGTACCAGTTGTGGTTACATGGGTCAGCGGGAGACCTTATTTATTTTTCAAACGTAGTAACCTATTGATCGATCGGTGTCCATCCATCCATCCATCCATCCATCCATCCATCCATCCATCCATCAATGCGTTGTCTCTGGCGTCAGTAAGTCAAAATCCTATCAGAAGTGTTTAATCTCTATCCCAAGAAAACCTCTAAGATAATTTGCTTTAAAGTAAAAATATTGAAACCCTGTCCTAAATCACTCTGAGAATCATCTGTCCACTGAATAAACAGCACATGAACAATTGCCTACCCTTGTACATATGTGAAGAGGTGTCACACTTCCTGTCAGCAGGAAAATGCTGTCGTCAAAATTCAATATTTATAAAAGGTAGAAAAAAATCTGAAGAAAGAGTGATCCTACGGAAGCATTAAACACAACAAAATTTCATGAAAATTGCAGACTCGGTTCAATTGAATCTATAGATGAGGGCTAATAATGAAAAATGCAACACCCCTTACACCGCTAACACCGGATTGAGCGGCACTCAATTTTCAACACTTAAGAGTGCTTTAATCAATGATCCCGAAAGACCAGAGAAATATATCGACACTGAAGGGAAGTACGGGGCAACTTTTTAAGCCGTAGGATTCGAACATACATAGGGAAAAAACAATTAAAAGGAAGCCATTGGTATTAAAAACGTTACAACGGAGTCTCTTTTTCTACTTTTTTGATGTTTTTAAAATTTGTTGTTTTTTATGTTGAGAGTTATACGGAAACATGTTTTCGACCTGTATGTGCAGCAATTAGCCTAGTTGTCACATCAATGTTCATTATTTGATATATAAGGAAATATATTGACAATGTTAGCGCGAGAAATGTATTGTATGTTATAAATAAAAAAGATCATTCAATAATTCTATGGACTTACTCTTTGTACATGTACTTACATATTAACATGCAGGACACATCTTTGATGTAATTATTAATTTCACAGATACATCAATTACGGTAAACCTTTCAAATGTTTGATAAAAGAATAGTGATAAACAATAAGTGTTTTGATGCTGTAGACATCATGTCCCCACCTCGTACGAGAAAAAAAAGACTTCTGGGATACATTCCATGTTTACTAATGATTGTTTAGTCGTTTTATCTTAAATAATTCAATAAAGCAATTATAACACTTATTATAGTTTATCAATGCATATGATTAATAGCACGCTATGTTACAACCAGTTTTGCAATAAAAACGAGTTTTGCAATAATGTTATTGCAAAACTGGTTACGTTGACATGATTTTATTGCAATTTGATTACAACCGGTTTTGCAATAAAAACGAGTTTTGCAATAAAATATTTTTTCTATCGGATTTTATTGACATTATACAAAAGACATTATAAAACTTATCTTGTATATTAGGATTGACATGCAGGAATTATATTCGGGGATAATGAATATATATGCATATGATCAAACATTAATTTACATTCTCAATTTCATTAGTCTTTTTCCTTTTAATATATATGATGAAAGGATGATCATCATGAAATATCAGGACGCAACAACTGTATTTGCTCAAATTTCGGTGATATACATACAAGAACTTTTAGTAAGGTCTTAACTTACCAGTTCTTTGATGAAAGAAAAAAAACGAGTTTTGCAATAATTTTATTGCAAAACTGGTTGCGTTGACATGATTTCATGGCAATTTGATTACAACCGGTTTTGAAAAAAACGAGTTTTGCAATAAAATATTTTTTCTATCGGACTTTATTGACATTATACAAAAGACATTATAAAATTTATCTATGTATATTAGGATTGACATGCAGGAATTATATTCGGGGATAATGAGTATATATGCGTATGATCAAACAATTTTTACATTCTCAATTTCAATAGTCTTTTTTCTTTAATATATATGATGAAAGGATGATCATCATGAAATATCAGGACATGTACATTTACAGCAACAACTGTATTTGCTCAATGATATACATACGAGAACTTTTAGTAAGGTCTTACTTACCAGTTCTTTGATGAAAAAAAAACGAGTTTTTGCAATAATTTTATTGCAAAACTCGTTGCGTTGACATGATTTTATTGCAATTTGATTACAACCGGTTTTGCAATAAAAACGAGTTTTGCAATAAAAATATTTTTTCTATCGGAGTTTTATTGACTTTATACAAAAGACATTATAAAATT